TTATATCAAAGAAATGGAGCACATCACTGAAGTTGTTGCCAACAGCAAGAAATCAGAATTTCATTTCAGATAAATATTGAAGAACCTGGCAGCTTGGTTTTGGCAAGAACTCACTTTTTTATTTTATTTACTTTTAGTGAATCAATAAGGCAGATGTGGCAGTACCTGGGTTATAAAAAATTGTAGATATATAGGACATGGTACTGTCCATGGTTATACATCAAGTGTCTTCAAATTTCATAAACAAAGAACCAGTTTAATGTTCTTCAGACTTTAGTGGGGATGGCTCGTGGTTAGTGGGGGTGGAAAATGTCCCAGCCTCAGTGGGAGTAAATAATTCCTCGGGCTTACAGTGGGAGTAAATAGTGCCCCATAATGGTTATCAGTGGGAGCGATAGTGCACTATTGGTCGTACCACTTGGAGGAGTAGTGCACCATTATTGGTAACAGTGGGAGGTATAGTGCACCGTCATTGGCATCAGTGGGAGGAGTAATGCGTCATTACTGGCGTCAGTGGGAGGAATTATGCCCAACTGTTGTCAGTTGCATGAATTAGTGCACCAAAGGTCAATCAAATGCTAGCAAAGGTCCATACACACCCAGCCCACAATATTAATCACATGGTCTGGATGTTTTGATGCATATAAGGATATATATATATGCCTGTGTGTTGAAACGTATGTAAGGGTCAGCAGCACTGGTATACACAGGAGATTTGGGGAATTGTTTTTTTTTGCGCTGAAGTTTTATTTGTACAAATAAAAATGGCACTTCATGTTTTATTCCGTATTAAAGCCTAAAAATGTTTTTGCCTGTCTCATTTGGAAAGACTTTCCACCTTTTCCACCCTGATACGAAATGAAAATACACTGCTGAAAAAAAAAAAAAAAAAATCAAAAAGGAACACTTTAAATCAGAGTATAGCATCAAGTCACTTAAACTCCTGGGATATTGATCTGGTCAGTTAAGTAGCAGAGGGGGTTGTTAATCAGTTTCAGCTGCTTTGAGGATAATGCAATTAACAACAGGTGCACAAGATGGGCAACAATAAGATGACCCCCAAAACCAAAACAAGAATGGTTTTACAGGTGGAGGGCGCTATAACATTTTTTTTTTTCCCTATTCATCTTTTCTGACTTTTTCTCTAGTTTTGCATTTGGCTAGGGTCAGTGTCACTACTGGTAGCATGAGGCGATACCTGGACCCTACAGAGGTTGCACAGGCAGTCCAACTCCTCCAGGATAGCACATCATTACGTGCCATTGCCAAGTTTGCCATGTCTCCCAGCACAGTCTCAAGAGCATGGAGGAGATTCCAGGAGATAGTAACTCTAGGAGAGCTGGACAGGGCTGTAGAAGGTCCTGAACCCATCAGCAGGACTGGTATCTGCTTCTTTGTACAAGGAGGAACAGGATGAGCACTGCCAGAGCCCTACAAAATGACCTCCAGCAGGCCACTAGTGTGAATGTCTCTGACAAAATAATTAGAAACAGACTTCATGAGGGTGACTTGAGGGCCCAATGTCCTCTAATGTGCTCTGTGCTCACTGCCCAGCACCATAGAGCTCAATAGGCATTTGCGATTGTACATCAGAATTGGCAGGTCTGCCACTGGTGTAGCCACTATTCATTGTGGCTACAAATATAATCATTGGGAGAAACCAGTCTCCTACTCTTGCTAATCAGCTGTTTCTGCAGGGCTCCCAATTCTTTGTTTTTCCCGGAGTGAAGCAAGTTGGCCTCAGAAAATCATTTAGCCAAGCTAGGACTGCAGATTACAGCCTTCAGTGCAGCCTCAGCAACCCATTCTAAAGCATTACTGGTATTATAGCCTAATGCCAAGTTGACTTTACTTTGAAAAGTTTGGTCCACATTTGCCCAAATGACCGATTTCTTTTATAATAGGTCTTCTGTCAGCACTGTATAAACTGCATGCAGCATTACCTATAGACACAGTATGCGGCATTGCGTTTGGGCAGCAGTGTGGGGAGATTTCCTGCCTGCTGCCAAAACAAAAATCAAGCCAGGCTGAATGCTGCTTAGCCATTCACAGGAATCCTTGTATTTTTATCAATGACTACAAGGCTCCCTCTGAGTGGCTGAGGTGGAGAGGAAGGTGGATGAGATCATGATCTCTACCTCAGCTAATCCGAGAGACAGTTATAATCACTGATAAAAAGGGCTCCTGTGAATGGCTGAGCAGCACTCAGCTCAACCTATGTTTGTTCTGGTAGCAGATGAGAAAGTCCCCATACTACTGCCAAAACAGCACTGCACACCGTATGTAGATGGTGCTACACATATAGTTTATACAACAGTGACAGTAGTGAATGAAGAAAATCGCTCATTTTGCCAGCTTGGCCCAAAAGAACTATATAAAGAAAAAGTAAACTTGGAGTTAGGCTTTAAAGTGGTATTAAACCCAAAATCAAAAATTTATATTACAGCTTACCAATCATTAGATGTGGTGTCTGTCAGTTTTCCTTTCTTTGGCTTTCCCCCCTCTGTTTTCACCTGGCGATCTGGTCAGTAATACACCTGTATTAGTCAGACAACTCTGGTGGAATGAGCACTGGAGGCACAGCAGTATTGTACTGTGAGGAAGGGGAGTGTTAAATGCAGTGCTTGACAAGCTTGCTCTGAATCAAGGAGCCAGCTAAAAAAAAGTTATATTGTTCACATTTTAGACTGGAAGTGGTGTTTTCACTATTCTATGTACATACCATACAAGGGCTTATCCCACTGCACCTTCACCTCCTCAGAGGAAAATCACTCCAGAGTCAGTTGGCTTTAGTGGAGGTACAGGGAGTCATACCTCATCCTTAAACTGAAACTAGATCCTTCTGTGTCTTAGGCTGGCCATACACTATACAATTTTCTGTCCAATGTCCTTTAGATTTACCTTCAACTATGTAGTACAAGAGCCTGCCTAATTGGATACAATTGAAAGTGTTGTTAGGTTTGACCTCATATTATATGGTTTTTGGTAAATCTAAACCATAAATCTCATGAAAATTGTATAATGTATGGCCAGCCTTACGACTGAAGGAGCCATGCTGCACATGTGCAATAATGCCAGCCATCTGAAACCTTGAAAGTATGGCTGAGAGCATAAACACACTGACAGCTGTGACAATTATCACCAGAGGCATGCCTCTAAAGAGTAACTAAAGGCAAAAAGTATTTTTTATTTTGGATGGAGTAAAGGAGGGTTATAAACCCTGTCAGTTTTTTTTTGCCATCAGTGTCCCACTGGGAAAATTTCCCTTCACTTCCAGTCCCATATCCAAAACAGAAAGTGAGGGAATCCTGGTGTGTCACCAGAACTAGTGTCCCCATTGGAAGATTTACCCTCTATTAGTGTTCTGATATCAATCCAACATTTGTGATTGTTCTTGCAGTTCTGCATGCAGATTTCAAATCAACTTACATTAAATTATACATTTTTTGCTTTAACTTACAAGAATAGTTTCTCCACTTTCTGGTTGAGTGCGGCACTGGTGATGTAGCCCTGGCCTCACCGCAGCATCCTCGGAAGGCTACATCACCATTGCCTTCCTAGGAAATCTTGTGTGTAAAAACTGCAAGAACTCAGGAAAAAGGGCATTTTTCCTCCTCAGATCAGCTCAATCCCATTTACGTAAGACCTTGGGCATTTGATGAACAAAAAAACACTACCAAAAAAACCGAATAAATTAGTTTATTGGAAAAAAATTAACATCTTGAAATGTAACAGATCTACTGATTAAGATTTTAAACAGGCAAAACAAGAGAAAATGTCGAAGTATTGGCAAAAGGGGGTAAGACGTACAGGTCTTTAGTAGCAAAAGTATCATTAGTTTAAAAGTGGCATTGTGTTATGTTACAACATGTACAAGTCTCTTTGAGCAGAGAAACAAAACATGAGTTAGAGCAGTAAGGGCACCCACTGCAGTTATTAGTCATTTGGGCAGTGTGAGGTTTATGGCATACAGTACGTTAGCAATACCCATGATGGTTCGAGCTATGAAAATGCATGGCGGTAACACTTTAAACAACCATAAACGTTTTGTATTTTTTTTTGCACACCTGCATGCTAATGGAATCAGTGGGGCAGCCCAAGATACAGTAAATGCCTCCAACTTCAACACAGCAGAAAGTTCAGCACATCCAGTAACCCTTTCCCTGTAAACAATCCCTTGCTAAATTAATCGCACTTAAAGCACCATGTCGAGTGCTTCAACGTTCCACCGGCCTGGCTTGCATATAGAATCAAGAGCACGTCCTCTTGTTATTATATAATATCTACATATATCATACAGCTTGCAGCTCTGTGAAATCACAGTGAAAGCCCTGGGAATAAAACACTATATATATATCTCTTACAGCAGGACTCAAATCTGTAACAATAAGTAGGGAATCTACACAAGCCTCCCATACAAAAATGTATGGGTTCCTTTGAGGGAAATCACATTGATTAGAAACGCTTAGGCTCTACTTAAAAACCCAGATGAATTAAAATTGAAAACAGACCCTCTTATCTGTCATTTTACAAATCTTAAACTATTTAACTTTCAAATAGCCTTTTTGTTTTCCAGTCTGGAAAAACTGTAGTGCAATTAGTTATTTAGTCCATGGTGTAAAATGTCATAGCTCCGTGGAAAGATAAGAAGATGCTCCAGTAAACAAGAGAAAGGGGGTAAGCCCCAAATCAGGCTTCATTAGTCCATTTAAAGCTTGGAAGTCCAAAGTGGCTTCTGAAAAAAAAAAAAAAATATAGTAACTAAAAACTTTAAAAGCAGAAATAAATAGACAAAAAGTGACTGTAAACAGATCTGCTTTCCAATAAAAACTCAGTGATCGCTGGCTTGACCTTCACAGTCGGTAAAAATAGACAAACTTCGGAGCATCCCATCAGCCCATTCAGTCTTGAAAACTCAACATGGAGTTACATTCTTAAAAACAGATAAAAATGCCGCCTTACGCCGCCCCTATTGTCTCTTCCCCTTCCCTTCAAGTGACCTACTTCGAGATTTTCTTCAAGAGGACTTTAATTTTAGACTGTTTTTTCTTCTCTCCGTTCTGTGAAAGCTCTGGCATTGTGGTTTTGAGTACTGGAATACCATGCACCTCTTGAACTGGCTTGCATTCATTCGGAGAGGAAGTGAAGGAAGGGTGGGGAGGCTTGGAGGCTGGTAAAATACTGGAAATCTGATGTAAGCTGCAAGATTTCTCCAGAATACCATTGTACACTTTACAAGCTGGGCTAAAAACCATACTCTGGCTTTCTGTTAAACCCACAGCGTCGGGCGTAGAGGTCTTAGAAATATCGGTTGCTAAAGCAGAGTCTGCGGATAAAGACTCCTCGCAGGAGGTTTCTTCTCTTGAGATCTTTTCGGAGAGGTGCACAAACCTGCTGCACCTCCAGGCTTGAAGGAGGAGACTGTTTTCTTCCAATAGAAGAACTTAAAGAGTCACATTCAGAGCCTGTATCTTCCCTAAAAGAAGACCAAAAAACATACACTATTATTCAACTCATCACAAAGCAATGTTAACTATCATTTCTGAAATCTGAAAAATCTGATAGATCAGTACAGTAAAGATATATATAAAATGAATTTAACTGCCTGAAAAGTTTGATAATGGATTGGAAACATGAAAGGCATTTAGCAACTGCTGGGAAAAAGTTAATTTTTCAGAACTTAAAGCCGAGCTCCGAGCAGATATAACATACAACAAAACGGTTACGTGTTGATTGAAAAATAATAAACTTTTTAATGAAGGTACTCCAAGTACCTGAATTAGACTTGATAGTAACTGCTTTGAATATCTAATAAAGCAGCACACAGACAGAGAGGGAGAAGCAGCACACGGAGCCAATCGGGTGTGCTGCACACTTATGTGCTAACAAGGAGCATGTTAACAGGAGGAGAGAGCAGTGGGAGCAGAGGAGTGAACTGCTCTGTTCCGGAGGCTGGCTGTGCTGTCCAGTACATCTGTGTACATCTCAGATGGACGAAGCTAACAATCTCCCGGAAAGTAAAAGAGCTCCAATAAATGTGTTTCCACTGTTCATCTGGAGTTAAAGTGGAACTTTAGTCAGAAAATTAAGTCTTGCTGAATCACTTCAGGCTGGCCCCTTTTGCAGGTATAGCTATGAAAAACATTACAAATAAGTGCCTATTACTGTTTAAAATCCTGTGATACACTGTCTCCCCCTGCTCTGCACATGCTCAGTTCCTCTCCATTTTTAGGTACTGTGCCAAATTTGTAGAGGCCAATCTGCTGATCAGATCAGATCTAAAGACAGTCTAAAGATTAAAGCGGAACTAAAGCCATCAATTTAAGTGTTTTTAAAAACAGTTAGGGTTTGCTCACACCATGATGCAGAGACGTCCGTTTTTCTGCATGCTTTCTACAAGGGCACAATGAAATCAATTGTTCTCTATGTGCCCTGTTCATACCACAACACTAGTATCACGTGCAATTTTTTTTTGCGCATGAATCTGCAACATGTATAAAACTCATTGGAGCGCACTTCAAAACTGATGTCTTTGCAAGTGAAATATGCACTTCAGTTTAAATCAGTTTTTGGGCACTTATGGAGTGAACAAGGCCTTGCATGCCAGGAATGCTATCACATTTGTTGATTCAAACCATCAAATGAATGATTTTATGACTGATCACATGTGCAGCACCATGGCAGTTACAGACCAAACAGATGGCAGTTTCCCTGGCTAAAAAGGATAATAGGGTTTAGTTCTGCTTAAACTTCTGCTCAGGCATCTGGGCTTCAACAAAATGGCAGCCTCCAGAAAGAAACAGGAACAATGTTGGAGGCAATTTACAGCATACACTAATTTGGGTAACATAATTATTAATGTATGTTCCTAGCTAAAGAACATTGTTTTTTATCAATTGTTATTGGTAAAGTTCTGCTTTAAGCTTAAACGTTATTCATTTAATCATTTCTAGACTTAAGTGAAACATGCATTTTTCTATTCACAGTGAAATGAAATCGGACTTTCTACTGCTAGTTATAAATAAAATAAGTGAGGCTACCATTGCAAAGTCTGTGATTTAAGAGTTAGGCTGCAAGGAGCCACATGAAAGGTATTAAGACTGCAAAACCAGCACTGTTCCAAATAAAATGGTGTTCTAAAGATGTATAGTTTTTTTTTTTCTTCTAAATACGTAAATGATTTATATATTTGTACAATCATTTTGGATATGCAGTTCAGTTTTGGTCATCAAACCCCAAGAAATATGTTGCTGAATTAGAAAGTTCAAGAAAGGAGGATGAAGGATCGATTATATAGATTACAGTTATTCACTCTGGAGAAGAGGCACTTAAGGGGGGGTTATAATTACAATGTTCAAATATATCATAAGGTGCCTTTCCTCAGGAAGAAGATTATACAGAGATATGGAAATTGTTCGAGAATATCACAGACACATACAGTCAGGTCCATAAATATTGGGACATCGACACAATTCTAACATTTGTGGCTCTATACACCACCACAATGGATTTGAAATGAAACGAACAAGATGTGCTTTAACTGCAGACTGTCAGCTTTAATTTGAGGGTATTTACATCCAAATCAGGTGAATGGTGTAGGAATTACAACAGTTTGCATGTGTGCCTCCCACTTCTTAAGGGACCAAAAGTAATGGGACAGAATAATAATCATAAATCAAACTTTCACTTTTTAATACTTGGTTGCAAATCCTTTGCAGTCAATTACAGCCTGAATTCTGGAACACATAGACATCACCAGATGCTGGGTTTCATCCCTGGTGATGCTCTGCCAGGCCTCTACTGCAACTGTCTTCACTTCCTGCTTGTTCTTGGGGCATTTTCCCTTCAGTTTTGTCTTCAGCAAGTGAAATGCATGCTCAATCCGATTCAGGTCAGGTGATTGACTTGGCCATTGCATAACATTCCACTTCTTTCCCTTAAAAAACTCTTTGGTTGCTTTTGCAGTATGCTTTGGGTCATTGTCCATCTGCACTGTGAAGCGGCGCCCAATGAGTTCTGAAGCATTTGGCTGAATATGAGCAGATAATATTGCCCGAAACACTTCAGAATTCATCCTGCTGCTTTTGTCAGCAGTCACATCATCAATAAATACAAGAAAACCAGTTCCATTGACAGCCATACATGCTCACGCCATGACACTACCACCACCATGCTTCACTGATGAGGTGGTATGCTTAGGATCATGAGCAGTTCCTTTCCTTCTCCATACTCTTCTCTTCCCATCACTCTGGTACAAGTTGATCTTGGTCTCATCTGTCCATAGGATGTTGTTCCAGAACTGTGAAGGCTTTTTTAGATGTCGTTTGGCAAACTCTAATCTGGCCTTCCTGTTTTTGAGGCTCACCAATGGTTTCCATCTTGTGGTGAACCCTCTGTATTCACTCTGGTGAAGTCTTCTCTTGATTGTTGACTTTGACACACATACACCTACCTCCCGGAGAGTGTTTCTTGATCTGGCCAACTGTTGTGAAGGGTGTTTTCTTCACCAGGGAAAGAATTCTTAGGTCATCCACCAGAGTTGTTTTCCGTGGTCTTCCGGGTCTTTTGGTGTTGCTGAGCTCACCGGTGCGTTCCTTCTTTTTAAGAATGTTCCAAACAGTTGTTTTGGCCACACCTAATGTTTTTGCTATCTCTCTGATGGGTTTGTTTTGTTTTTTCAGCCTAATGATGGCTTGCTTCACTGATAGTGACAGCTCTTTGGATCTCATCTTGAGAGTTGATCGCAACAGATTCCAAATGCAAATAGCACACTTGAAATGAACTCTGGACCTTTTATCTGCTCATTGTAATTGGGATAATGAGGGAATAACACACACCTGGCCATGGAACAACTGAGAAGCCAATTGTCCCATTACTTTTGGTCCCTTAAGAAGTTGGAGGCACATATGCAAACTGTTGTAATTCCTACACCGTTCACCTGATTTGGATGTAAATACCCTCAAATTAAAGCTCACAGTCTGCAGTTAAAGCACATCTTGTTAGTTTCATTTCAAATCCATTGTGGTGGTGTATAGAGCCAAAAATGTTAGAAGTGTGTCGATGTCCCAATATTTATGGACCTGACTGTACTTCTGGTTGAACTGGATGGGCCTGTGTCTTTTTTTAACCTTATCTACCCATTATGCATGTTAGGATGACTTAATTTTTCATACCACTGCTTTTCTGCTATGAAATAAATGGCATCCTCTTCCTCATCAGTGCGGTACAGAGCAGGACAGCTTGATACAGACAGAATATCTGGATCAGGTGACTGCAGAACATGCTGAGACTGGGGGGAAGGTGGAACAATACTTCGCCGAGGACGACACATGCTGCTGCTGCGTGCCAATGTTCCATGGGTCTTTATAATAGAACCTTTAGAAACAGGAGAAGAATTGTAAGCACATAAACAGAAACATGACTATCATTGCCAGTGAAAACAAGAACAAAAATAGCTAAATTAATGGAAATATGTAACAGTCCCTGTGTGTTGTCCCAAATTAAAGCAATCACTTATTCCTAAGCAGCATGCTATCTAAAAAATTTTTTTAAGGTGAACCTACATGGGTCACTGAGAGTGACATCATTGCCCTGTAAATAATATGTGACCCATAAATCAGACTTCTCATGTCTTGATTTGAGAGATTTCTTACATTTCTTACAAAAATTACATTAGACAAGACATCAAAAATAGAACACAATCATCAGCATATTATATGCTCAATATATTTTACTTATGCCTAAATATTTAAATGATGTTTTGGCTACTTTGCTGGTTGTCCTTTGCATTTTGTTTTTATTGAGCTGACAATAGGTGGTGCTGTTCACAAGTTAAATCAGATAGCATGTTTACAAGGAAAGGGGAAGTTTCATAAAGATGTAGGACCCGTATACTGCAGCTAAGTGTCTTCCGCAGTACCTAAAATAGCACAAAGTTTGCACTGTGAGGTCAAATAACGTTCACACTTGTGAGGTTTTTGTACAGTTTTTAAAAGCCCAGAATGCTGCAGATTAGTCTAATGATAGTGTTAGCAACATGCATAATGTTGTTTAATATGCTTGTAAAAAATCCCTCCTCCTAGGTGGCATACTGAAGATAACCAGCAAGATTATGTGGCCTAATTCTAGAAGGTGATTTTATGGAGCTTTTACGATTTTAGAAGTAAGGGTTTTCAATACCAAAATAAATGCATATTTTTTTAAACAGCAAAATCCCATGTATGCTATTTACAAGTAGAATTTATAAATCATCCCAGGAAACACAGCTGGACGTTTCTCACTTACATTTTCACCTAATGGAATAAGAGTTACAAGGAAGAGACACTCCCTATATACATAAAACAACAAAAATAGCTAGATGTGAATGGGGCTGGTAAAACAGGTGCTGAACATAGGACCTTCAACGTCTTCTTGTGTGTGATATGAATGTAAACTGAGCAGTGTGAACCAAGAAAACACACATCTGTGTCAATGCTTGTCTCACTGGAGGCTGCAACAGCTCTTCCCACAAGTTAGGCTCCAAACTCCAGTTTCCCTGGCAGGAAAAATATCACTTGATATACAGTGTTTTTTTGTACATGTTTAGGCGAGTTTAGGAGTCTTTAGCATTTTTTCTCCAATCAAAAACATAAACCAGACAGGTTTTTTTTTTTTTTTTTTTTTAAATCGCTGAGCTGAAAATATGCCTCTAAGGCTTCATGTACACTGCAGTTGAAACTGACGTTCAGGAGCTTTTCTGTGTTTTTTCAGCAGCCCCTGAACTCTCCCTAATGTTTTCCTATGTGTCCATGTACACATCATCGTTTACAGGCAGTTGCATTTACAGTTGTTTTTTTTAACGCACCAAACTTGCGTTCAGGAGTAGATTTTGTCAGCGTTTCAAATGACAAACGTTTGTAAACGCGGCTAGCCGCGTTTATAAGCATTTGGAACATTTTATTAACTCTTCCATTTCCATATGCTTTCCAGAGCCTTTTTTCTTCATGAAAAATGCATGCAAAGTGTTTTCCCGGTACTCAAATAGACCTGGTACACCGTACTTTGAGGTTTCGCATGAAAGAAAAAATGTTTAGACACTGCTGCAATAATTTCTGCACAGAAATGAGCTGGAACACATCCAAACACCACAAAAAAAATTTAAAAAAAGACAGCTAATCTCAATAATGCGCTCTCTCTCAAAATGTCTGAAATAGTTAATTTTTTTTATGGTTTTTCAGTACATTCTGGGCATTTTGGAAGGTCTTCTGAGGTTATCTTTTAAAAATGCGCATAAACGCGGTATGCAAACGCAGTTAAACAGACGTTTTTTAACCTATGTTTTCCAGCAGTCAGTTTCCATCATTCAAAAGTGTCCTGTGTATATAGGGCCTAATCCTCCTAATGTGCATGGACACATAGGATAACACTGAGCTGCTTCTACAGGCAAAACACAAAACTCCTGTGAAGGCAGGGATTTTTAAGCCAGTGTGAATGGACCCTAACCTACAAAAGCATGCACTACAAAGCAGTCTTGCTTGATAAGAGCAACAATAAGTGAACCAATTCACAGATGAGAACCACTCACTAAGTTGTCAATCATAAAGATGGCTCTTTTGATTTTAATGCCCCTTATGCACTGGAGAAAAAAAATGCACAGCATGTAGCATTCTTTTTAATTATATATCTGAACACAGGTGTATTGCTGTCAATGGGACAAAAAAACAACAAATTTTTACAACTTACTGCAGAAATTTGTGCATAAACCCATGCATACACAAGTACATATGAGCGCATTTGTGTATATGGAAACAATAGCGGCTAAAATGAGGATGATGAATTTTTCATTTGCTGGTTCTTACAGATTGGTTGATCAAGCACTACTCATTCACTGCTCACTTTAACCGCTTTAGCTCCACCCCATAGCAGAAATACTGCTACAAGGTGGCAGGTGTACGCAAAATCATGTACATATACGTTTCCGGGTAGGGGGCACACGCGCCATACCCGTGCCACCATTCGCAGCCCCCAATCACCGGGTCCTGGCCGGTGATTACTCGCCAGCGCCTCGTGATTGCCGAGGATCTCCGACAGGGGGGAGAACTGTTAGTAAACAAAATAGTTCTCCTCCCTGTCAGCTCCTGCACACTGTTTTACATGGCTGAGCACAGCACAGCCATGCACAGCAGTGTGCTTTCAGTAAAGGACAAACAACACACATTGTAAAACGGCACAGCACACAGTTAACCCCTTCATGCCCAGTGCCATTAGTACAGTGTCAGTGCTTTTTATTAGCACGGATTACTGCATTGGTGTCACTGGGGATGTTAGTGACACCAAGTCAATTCCCCTCAGTGTCAGAATGCTCGCCACAGTCCCGCTATAAATCGCTGATCGCCGCCATTACTAGTAAAAATTTAATTTGAAAAAAGCCCAGTATATATACCGCCATTTGTAAACATTATAGCTTTCATGTAAACCAATTAATTTACACGTATTAGGATTATTTTTTAGCAAAGACAAGTAGCAGAATACATTTTGGCCTAAGTTTATGACTAAATTTGATTTAATTTTTTTACTGGACATGTTTAATAGCAAAAAAAAAAAATCAAAAATATTGGTTTTTTTCCTCAAAATTGAGGTCTTTTTTGTCATTGCACAAAAAATAAAAAAACCCACACTGACGTAAATTTAATTTGGGTGAAGCGTTGCATGACTGCGCAATTGTCAGTTAAAGTAACGCAGCCCCGTAACGCAAAAAATGGCCTGGTCAGGAAGGGGGGGTAAATCCTCTGGAGGGCAACTGGTTAAGGAAGCCCTTCATCCAAACAACATGATTTTACTGAAAAAAAAAAAAGGGAATTTATTATTTATTTTACAGGAGACTGCAAAGTACTGCACCCACAATTGATGGATCGCGGGTGCAATGCCAAGCTCCTGCACACATTCCCTCCAGTTTTATGTCTATTTCCGAAGGACTTTCAGTTAGGCTGGCCATACATTAAACAATTTTCAAGTACAATTTTCCTTTAGATTTACCAAAAACATATAATATGAAGTCAGACCTAAACACTTCAATTTGTATGCAAACAGGCAGGCCCTTGCACTACATATGTGAAGGTAAATCTAACGGAAACAGAACAAGAAAATTGTAAAATGTCTGGCAAGCTTTAGAAAGCTAGAAGAAGAGTGGACTACAAGTGTGCTAATCAGCAAACCTCGCAGTCCATTGAAAACTACAAGTCCACTGTGGCAAGAGATGACTTGTAGTTGTTTCTTGCACAGTTGCCAGCGAAGGAATGATGATGAGCCAGTTTTAAATGCAACAGCGGCTGCAGAGGAGAGGAGAGGAGCCCCCGTCTGCTGTCACAGGGGAGACACAGGGGGTTAGGAGGGTACTGCTTAGGAACGTGTTACACTCTAAATATGGGTGTAACATAACATGTTCTCAAAAGTGAACTGGATTAGCCAAGTACTGCAGGTTATAAATGGGCAAATACAGGTTAGCAGATTCAAATGTCTGAATATCTATGCACGAACCTGTAAAACTGTGCCAGTGACTTTATACTTTTTTGCATGATGTGCTACAATTCCAAAAGAAATCTCCAACTTGTAAAATGAAGTTGGCTGAAAGTTGTAGAGATATACATACCATGAAACTGGGAAATGATTGGAGGTGTATCTTCATCCAAGTCATCCACTCCTCCAGCAATCGGGTAAGGAGGGATTGAGACTCTGGGCATAACCACCCAGCTGTGGTCGGAGTACAGGGTAGAAGTCAGGTTTGCCACACCAGAATTGTGGACTATTTGGAAGCCACAAATTTTCTCAATCTGCTGCCATCGGTAAAGGCGCTCTCGCAGGCATGTCGTTAATTCAGACAGCGCTTTTCTGTGGAACAATAATGAGAACATGAAATCTACTATAACAGTCATGTTTCCATTATAAATAAGGACAGTACAAGAGCAATCCACTGTAAAATATATTCAACTGTTGAATGCTACAATCACCCCATTCACTTGTAAGGTGAAGGGTGGTTGGTGGTGTAGTACATCACTGACATTTCTTTGCCTTTAAAGAATAAAGTCTTATAGAAATGAGACAAGGAGAGCAAAGATCATCAAGTACAAATATTTATTGTGTGCCCCTGGTATGGACTATACTTACTTTGCTTCAAGAATTTTATGGTCCACCTCATCCAGGGAAGAGCTGTGTGCCACATGCAATGTTCCAAAAACTGTGCTCCTCTTCTTCTTTATTTTTTCTGCCTAAAACAAAAACAAACGATGATGAAATTGCTAATCTACATCAACATCCACAAACAACTACCAATTAAGTTATAGCTAATAAATTTCAACTTTTGCAAAATTATTCTCAAACAATTTGGTTAAGAGCAGAAAGTCGCAGTTATAATCCTTGCAGTCCTTAACCACTTGCCTACCGGGCCAATTCTGACATTTCTCTCCTACATGTAAAAATGATCATTTTTTGCCAGAAAATTATTTAGAACTCTCAAACATTATATTTTTTAAGACGAGCCTAGAGAATAAAATGAGTATATATTACAGAAATATTTTATATAGAATATAAAAGATAATGTTACAAGTAAATAGATACCAATCTTGTCACTTTAAAATTGTGCAAGGCTGTGCAGCAGCGAAAAACTGCGGTACTTTAATTTATCCATAGGTGGCGCTTTAACAGCATTTCCAGGTTACCAGTTTAGAGTTTATACAGGAGGTCTGGTGCATATATTTTTTTAAAGCAGACACCCTAGTGAATAAAATGGTGGGTGCTGCAATTTGTTATGTCACATAGTACTCGCACAGCGATTTTTCAAACGCTAATTTTTTTTAAAAATACACTTTTTTTAATTTTAATGCACAAAAACACAATATATTGGCCAATTATTTGGTAAAATATAAAAGATGATGCTATGCTGAGTAAATAGATACCAAACATGACATGCCCCGTGCAATGGCAACAAACTGCATACATTTGTTAATATTCATAGGCAACGCTTTAAAAGCCTTTACAGGCTACCATTTTAGATTTACAGAGGAGGTCTAGTGGTAGAATTACTGCCCTTGTTCTGATGTTCGCGGCGATACCTCACATACATGGTGCAACCGGTTTATGCAAGTGCGCACACAGTGGGCGAGGGTGCTTTTTTTTTTTTGTTATTTTGATTTGTTTAATTATTTTTCCACTGTCCCTTTCATTTTTTTAATGCTCTAAACAGGGAATGCAAATATCCCCTATAACTTCAATGGGCATTGTCATATATTTTTTTTTTTTTTTTTTTAGAAATCTGGGGTCGATCAGACTCTAGATATCTCCACTGCCCTTACATTATCTAATCTCACCGAGATTGGTGTGATCAGACGCTTTTCTAATTTACAAATGGCCGTTTATATCCTGCGAAACTAAAGTGATGAAATGCTCGTAGCTTCCAATTTCTTAGACTATAGAGATGATTGGCGCCATTCAGGTCTCCAATCAGCTCTATGGTCAGCTGGCAGAAACACCGGCTGCATTCTCAGGTTCCCCCGATGGCACGGGACTGTCCAAGAAGGCAGTGGAAGGCTGCGGGGAAAGGGCATCTTCTCCCACTGCTTGTAAAAGCAATCCTGCAGCTAATTATCCACTAGGATTGCCTTTACATGAAAGCTGATTGCCGGCTGAAAAAAACAATCCCAGGATGAGGCCTGCAGCTGCAGGCCTCATCCTGGTATAACTACTCAAAGTCCAGTGATGTACCAGTATGTCGCTGGTCCTTTCTGGGTGTATATGCTATGTTCTTTTTTTTTTATGCAGCCTGTGAGCTGAATGAAAAAAAGAGAAGAAATCTCTGCCACAAAAAGTGTGTGGTATGCCCACCATTAGAATATACCGCCCTGCATCCACCCACTTCTAATGGTGGGCACACATGAAATGTGCCAAAAAACAAAATATATATGGCAAAGCATAGGGGCCATCCACCCACAGGCCACCCCAGGCCCCCATGCTTCGGCATATATGCTCTATATTTTTTTTTTAACTGCGGATGAAAAATCTCATCCAACAGTGCTGCACACACCTACTTATGTATATTCTGAGAGCAAAAACCTGTTGCTGTCAGAATAAACAGTTCGGTGCTGCAGCTGAATGGTGTTCCTACAAAGCAAACAATGGTTAATAAAACAAAGTAACAATAGAACATTAACTCAAATCAACAAGTGAATGGTGTTCCTGTAAAAGAACACGGTTAACAATAAAATAAAGTAACAACAGAACTGAACTGAATAAAACTCGCTAAAAACTTTTTTTAAATTTTTATTTTAACTTTATTTTTTTAAACTTTTTTTGTACCAACATCTGAGTTTCGGGTCTCTCAAAATGTGACGGACAGTTTCCTAACATCTTTTGAGACTCTTTGTGAGAATGGTGAATATGTGCCCTGAACTGTGCCGGGCTGTACACTATGCTAATACTCCGCTAGTGTATGGTAGCGATGGAAGCAGTCCTTGAGGCAGAGACCAGGTTGGCCGGACAGGAGGGACAAGAAAAAAAAACGGGTGTCGCATCTTATTCCGTGTCTGCTACAGACACATCTTCTTTGGGGTGACCTTTGGGTTGGGGTACCAGAGAGAACATACGGAAAACATCTCTCATGAAGCCGGCTAACTGCATCTGGATTTGAGCACTGGGCCACAGCACCTTCTGGATATAAAAGGGCCGTGGTGATCTCTTCCTGAAAGTTTAGGAAGGATCCACTTTGTCCAGTTGCTTTGCAAATGACAAAACGATATATATAGCCAATTGAAATAAATAGACACCTTTTTGTACCAGTATCGAGCTTTCTGGGAAACTAGATATGGATTCATCATCTGGTCGTTGAAATCCACCCCTCCAATGTTAAGGTTATAGTCGTAGACACAGAGGGGTTTCTCAAGCCAGTTACCGTGTTAATTTGGACTGTCGCGTCTGCGTGAATGGAAGACAAGACAAAAACATCCCTCTTGTCCTTCCACTTCACTGAGAGCAATTCACCATTCTTCAAGCAGGCTTTCTCCCCCTAAGTCGGATATTTACAAGTCGTTGGGAAGCCCCGGCGATTAGGCCGCATGGTGCCACATGAGCCAATTCCAAGATTTTACAGACATCTAAATAGTGGCACACCTGTATAGAGATTGTTCACGTATAAGTGATAACCCTTATGGAACAAAGACGACAGCAAGTCCCAAACTATCTTGCCACTGCTCCCCATGTAGCCTGGGCAGTCGGGGGGCTCTACTTCGCTGTCTCTTCCCTCGTAAATCCTAAATTTGTACGTATAGTATGTGGCCCTCTCACAGAGCTTATACAATTTGACCCCATATCTGGCACGCGGCCAGTAAAATGAATTAAGGACTTATCCACGCAGATGTTTTGCTGGGGTGTATACACATGTGCAAATTTCTCAGTGAGGTAGTTTATGAGGAGTCAAATTTTGTAGAGCCGTTTATGTTCAGAGTCACCCCGAGGACGACAGAGTGTGTTCTCTCTAAAATACATGAAGTGCATTATCATCTCATATCTATGCCTGGCAGCAGAGAACATGGGCATATGATGAATTGGGTCTGTGGACCAATATGACTGCAACCCATTATTTTTTGTAATGCCCATGTTGAGGGTTAGGCTCAAAAATGTTTTACATTCGGAAACTTTAATAGGTTTCCATGCAAACGGTCTGGCAAGGTTTGAATTTGGTTTTGCGGCGATATATTGTTGAGCATATAAATTGCTTTGGCCCACAATCAAATTGTACAAATATTCTGAGAAAAACAACTCCGTAAAATCAAGGGGAGTTAAATTTGCTGTTTTCCACCTGAATTCCAGGTTGGGCAGAGAATGGGGGAAGCACAGGTGCTGCAGAATTTCTGGGCTGCCAATCAGGATTTGCAAGCACGTTTGGAAGAACACTAGGGGCTCTACGGGCCTGTGTGCGAATTCTTGGTGGCTGTGAGACACTGCTTGTGCTCGCCACCGCACCAGCTTGCACTGCACTTATGGGACTCGCCACGTCACCAGTGCAGGTATAAAAAAGACCAGGATATACTAGGCCACTGGTGCTGGCCAGTTTACCAAATGGTAGTGCGGCACTAGTACTTGCACTCTGCTACATATGATACAAGTCATGCGATCCTAGCACTTCAGCTTCATGGGGTTGGGTACGCCTGATCTTAACAGGGACCTCTTCTCCATCGTCCAAGCTACCTGCCGCTGCTGTCTACAGGTTCGTATTCTGAGGCAGATTGTGTCAGGGAGTCTTCCCCTTCGTTCTCACCTGACATGCTCAGAATCCTGTAGGCCTTTTCACCAGTGTACCTTTGGTTGGACATTTTGGACTCTAAATTTACAGGTACCTAGTGTGACTCATGGGAAAAAGAGCACCTGGCTGTCAGGGATTGCTTGAACCGCTACCAATAAAATTCACTTGCTAATGCTGGCAAAGATCAGGCCTGACTCTGCGAACACTGCAGTTGTGTGTGTATGTATTACAGGTGACAGTGATCAGAAATCATACTGACACTGCACTTCTGGTTGGGGGGGGGCACCGTTGGGGCTAAACGCTAGTGCAGGCAGCGAATGGGTATGATCCTAACACTGCGTTTTTGGGGACACTAATACTAAGGGACACTGGTATAGTTTTGTTCATGATCAATATATTGATCCATACAAACACTATACTAGTAATGACGGTGATCAGTGACCTATAGCGTGACTGTGATGGCAAACTAACGCTAGCTGACCCTAGCTGGGAGGGACGCTAACTGACCCTGACGCTATCTGACGTCGCTAGCGGCACTAATACAGTGATCAATGAAAAATACTGTACACTGACACTGTACTAATGCCACTGTCAGAGTGGCAGGGGAGCAAAGCGTTAAATGTGGCAATCAAGGGGTTAAAAATGTCTAACGTGTGGGTGCAGTGTGCTGCTTTTCCTCACGTATGATGTCTCTATCTTCTCTCCCTGGAAAAAAATGGTTCCAGGAAGAGAAGAACCAACTAGATCATGTGCCTGTATTTACAAATACAGGCACAGCTCTGCATCTCCATTCGCTGTAGGAGATCTGCAGAGTCCCGGCCAAAATCACTGGCTGAGACCTGCTGACATGCACCTCCTACAATGAATTACAGCGGAGGTGGGCGCGCATGCGTGCTCTAAACCCGGAAGAGCAGAGCAACGTACGGGAATGTCGCTTTGCCTGCAGTTACTGCCCATCCGCAGTACATTGCGGGAAGCGATTAAATTCTTCTTTAAATATGTAAATGTAATAAACAAAGATGTTCCTGCATAAGAATTAAGAGATTATCCATACAAGACTTATTTTAGGTTATTGTCCCTTCCAGTTTCAGAATGAAGCATCTCTGAACCAGTAGCAAGTCCACAGTTTTCCATAAAACCAAGTCAGCAACTTTACAATGACTTAGGGTGAGAATAATCAAAGATTAGCATCCACTACCTCTTCTTTAGCAATGGCGAGCTGCATTTCAGCATTCTGTTTCTTGATGTTGTAGTACTGGACCTCCACCTCATGTGTCAACTGCAGCCACTTCTGCAGAGCATCAGGGACAGACCAGTTACCTCTTAGCTCAAATTCTTTCTCTGCTTTTTTCAGAGCCATCCGAACCTACAAAAAACAAAAACAAAAAATGCTTCAAACAACAACCCTAGGCAAAATTTAAATAAAAAGACCTACTAATGTTGCAGCTAATGGCTAAATCGGTACACCCAACACTAAGCTCTCTGTAATCCACTGCAGCCAATTTATGTGACTCAGACTCCCTGGGAATCTATGTAACCACCACATTTCTTGGTCTTTTGTAGCTCCAAATCACACTTTTCTTTTTGCCTCACAAACGTGTTCTGATACAGAAGCTAGTATAGTACTATAATACAGAGTGGGGTGTACATACACAACCACAGCTTCTACACCTTAGTACACATAGTACACCCCCACCCTCAGGTCCCCGCTGTATTTGCCTCCAGGGCAGCCTGTTCAATAGTCTGGAGATTTGCAATCCCTCTTCTCTGTGCAGAGCTTCTGGAAAAGACTAGATCGATTTACTGTGCAGGCGCCGACCAATCAAAATTGCTCTGATCTGTCCAGAAAAGTGCAGCACAGAGAAGAGGAAGAAAAGCAGAGATTTCAAATCCCTGGACTGCTGGACTGGCTACATGAGCAATGACAGCTCAGCATCCCACTAGGTATGTAAGGTGGAGGTTTGGTTATGTGGTTCGCTCTTTGGTCTCAGCCTATTATAGCCAGAGCTATAACATAGGGGAGCGGCTCTGTTCTTCATAGAGAGCTGAGATGATAGCAGTGCAGCAGAGAGCACAGGAAATTACAATGAACCACTGGACTTTTGGCAGGTTCAACACTTTTTTTGCACTTTCAATAGTATATTTAACGGATCAGAAGGTGGAAAATAAGAAAAGTTAATTGTCAGGGTTTTCATACACTTCATCTTCTCAGAAGCTGTCCATTTGTGTTTACTGACGTCATCCAAAATATAGATAACACAAGATTAGCAATGTTGTCATGTCTTGCGTCTATGTGCTCTTTAGTCATTTGCTATAAAAGTGCCAGGAACTGTCCTGACAATTTTTTTTCTTTAGGTGACTTCTTGTTTGAAACATTTAACCACATCACGTCTGCCCTAGAGCAGATATACTGCTACAGGGCGGCACGGGTGCACAAAATCACATATATATATATATATATATATATACACACACGTGATTTTGCATTTCCGCGGCTGTCAATCACAGGGGCATGGCCAGTGATTATTCACCGATGCCTGGTGATTGGCAAGGATCTCCGACAGGGGGGTGGGTGGGGGTTGTTTTGTTTACTAACAGTTCTCAAAACAGTTCTCCCTGTCAGCTCGTGCACACTGCTTTGAATGGCTATGCACAGTCCCTGCTTACAGTGAAGCACAGACACAGCCCCATAGTAAAACACACCCAGCACACAGTTAACCCTTTGATCGCCCCAGATGTTAACCCCTTCCTGCCCAGTGCCATTAGTATAGTGTCAGTGCTTTTTATTAGTACTGATCACTGTATTGTGTCACGGTGTCACTGGGATGTCAGTGAGACCAAGTCCGTTCCCCCCAGTGTCAGAATGCCCGCCACAGTCCCGATATAAGTTGCTAATCGCTGCCAAGATCAGTAAAAATTAAAAAAAAAAAAAGTCCCAGTGTATATACCGCCATTTGTAAATGCTATAACTTTCATGTAAACCAATTAATTTATACGGATTGGGATTTTTGTTCAGCAAAGACATGTAGCAGAATACATTTTGGCCTAAATTCATGGCAAAATCTGATTTTTACATTTTTTTTTACTGGACAAACTAAAAAGTAAAAAATGTTTTTTTCCTTAAAGTTGTCTTTTTTTTTTTTAATAGTGCAAAAAATAAACGCAGAGGCAATCAAATACCACCGAAAGAAAACTAAATTTGTGGGAAAAATGATGTAAATTTAATTTGGGTGCAGCGCTGCATTACCACGCGATTGTCAAAGTAACACAGCACCATAATGCAAAAAATGTCCTGGTCAGGAATGGGGGTAAATCCTCAGGAGGACAAGTGGTTAAAAATGTTCATGCCTGAAGGTAATGTTTATCACTATGTGACTTTACCTGAACTAGCTCTTCTTCTGCATATTTCAGTCGACTAAGTTCACATTCTGCACCCTCACGCAGTTCTCTCAATCTTTGGGCTTCTCGTTTTGCATCACTAATTTCATCCATTAATTTGCGTTCAAGGTTTTGTTTCTCTACAGCAACAGTTCTGTTTTCTTCCTGAGCTTTTTCAAGCCTAGAAAAATAAAAGAAAATATAGAAGATTGTAATTTGAAAATAAGCTGGATCACATCAGCTGAAAGCAGGAAAAAATATTTATCCATTTATGGATGCCATGAATGAATGGCCATATTACTCAAAGCTGTTAAATTAAAATGGGGGATGAAAAAAAAAAAAAAAAAAGTGTTACTAAACCCACAGCAGTAAAGTTGTGTAAAAAGGATTTGATCCTCACTTCTCTGATCCTCCCCTTTTTCTACTATCCCCAATCCATCTGCTGATAGAACAGAACCTTGGGGGCAAGCTGCACATGCTCAGTTTGGTGTCTATTGCTAGAGAGTTTTTTACTTCTCCTTGGGAGAGTGCATGTGATGAACACAGGGTCAATCAGCGCTGTCCAGACAGAGGGTCAGGGGTTATGCATCCTCATAGGACAGTCAGGGAGAATGAAAACTCCTGCAAGCTTTAACCAGTGCTCTGTTGGACACAGATAGAAGTCACAAGACTGCTCTAACTACTGATTATTATACAGGATTTATATAGCGCCAACGGTTTTGCTCAGCGCTTTACATTATAGTGGGGGACAATACAGTTCAATACAAGAGGGAGTTGAGAGCCCTGCTCCTTGGAGCTTACAATCTAGGAGGGCGGGGTGAGTGGTACAATAGGTAAATAAAATGGAATAAAGCAAGCGCTCATAAAATGAAATGGGTGGTAGCAGCTAAAGCACTTGAGGAAATCACAATAACCTCACGTCCTGTAAATGGTAAAATATAAAGTGCAGTGCTAACATGAGTAATCACATAAGTGAAATGAAATAAAAGTTTGTGCAGTCAATAAACTCATATAAGGCACTAATAGAACACTTCCATAGTTGTCAATATCTCATGACGTCACATGCTGTAAGCTCCTCCTTAGGCCTTAGGCTAACACTCCCCTCTGATGATGTGCCTTAGCAAGAAAGGCCTAAGGAGGAGCTGACAGCGTGTGACGTCATCGCTGCCGGGGACTACGAGGAGGTCTGGCAGCCATCTTACTCAAGGGTCTGTACATTACTTTGCTCTTGCTGATATTTGGCACTGTTATATGTACTCCTGACCTGCACTATTTATGCTCCAACATTTTACTACTACATAATAAAGTCCTAGAAAATACTACACTATTGGCACTTCCTTTCTTTTGGCCCCTTATTGAGGGGCTATTAGATCCTAAGCACAGCTTTACTACATTCAACATCCAGAGGAGGGAGCCCTGTATCCAGACAGTTCACCCATATCCTTAAAGGAGTCCTCTTAAGTTCAGCTGACCATTGCTTGATGACAACTTTTCCCTGAGAGAAGCCTCATCACCTACCTGCTGTTTCACACCTGGGTTGATGGATGTTTACATGCGCATTTTCTATGCGCGGTCGGTTAGTGCGCATTTCTGTCATTTCCCCTGTCACAAGCCTTTATGAGATAGACAACTATGGAAGTGTTCTATTAGTGCCCTATATGAGCTTATTGACTGCACAAACTTTTAAACGAACTTTTATTTCATTTCACTTATTTATTGATTACTCATTTTAGCGATACAATAGGTAAAACTGTGGGGGATGGAGTGGTTGGAAGCGCAGAGGATACCAGTATTAGCAAAGGGCGGGATAGGCTTCCCTAAAGAGATAGGTTTTCAATGATCGCCTAAAGGTAAGCAGAGTAGTTGATAGTCTGATAGATTGGGGTAGGGAGTTCCAGAAGATGGGTGACGCCCTGGAGAAGTCTTGGAGACGAGCATGGGAGGAGGAGATAAGGGAGCTAGAAAGTAGGAGGTCTTGCGAGGAGTGGAGTGTACAATTTGGGTGATATTTAGAGATAAGATCGGTTATGTAAATTGGACGAGAAAGGGTATTTAGCAGTTTATAGTTATTAAAATAATTGCATTTCCATATTCTGTGTACCGTGGCAGACCAGATACAGCAAATGCAGGGTCCTTGGTTTAGTAACACTTTAAAAGTGGACCTAAAGTCAAAGTCCATTAACGCAGACAATACACATGCAGTGAATTTATGCAACACTGAAATAATAGAATTTTGCAAACTTTAAATAAAATCCAGTGGTGTAAAATTCTGATATCCTACCTTTCCTGTAGCTCAAGAAGGCTCATTTCAGCTTTCTGAAGCCCCTCCAAATCTTTCATCATCTGTGCTATATGCTCCTTAGATGTCTTATTCTGAGTGTATGCAAACCAGCATCCTCCAACACCAATTACAATAGATATAGTCAGCACAAAATCTTTCACCCAATTATGAGGTGGTCCTGCAAAGATCATGTTTGAAAAATACATTATCAGACATAGAATTAGAGACCCGATACTGTTGCAATAAAGAGTGATTGTTACTTTACTAACGTGTCAAAGGTCCAAACAGCACCACATCCAATGCTTTAAGATGGAGTTTTTGTCTGTGGCTCCGATCAGCGATTTTCAAATGTGATATCATAAACAAAGGTTCATTAACCGCTATTCTGTATGTGAAAAAAGAAAAGAAAATACAATTACTGTTACCATTAGAATTTAGAACACAAAAAAAAGTAGATAATTGCTATAAAATTAGATAAAAAAAAAAGAAACCAAACACTCAAAGAAAGGCAACTCTTGTCTGATTCTTTACAAGGGAATAACCGATTGGATGAGTTAGAATTTTTGGCCAATTGTTATTTTTTCTCTAGGCTGATCCAAGGTGTCTTTAATCTCACCTAATATCCTGGAAAATTCTGGAACTTAAAAAAAAGGGAAGTGTGGACTGTAAGAACAAAATAAAATACATTTATACTGACCTAGGTGGATGCAGCGATATGATGCTGCATTTGTTCCTTGCTGGCTCTGCACTGAGAACTGAGCGATCAAAGACCACTGATTGCTCAGTTCTCAGAATTCTTTGAGCAGGGAGCTGGAAACTGTCAGTCTGTGGCTCTGTTCTGAAACCTTCGCACTCATTGAAGCGCTGGGCTGTGGAGGGGGCAGGAGGGGCTGCTGCAGGCTCTCAGCAGATCTCAGAGGCTGAGCCAGTTGCTGGTCCATGCTTCTGGGGGGATCCTGACCATATGGTTAGGATCTTTTCAGAACCTGGACCGGTTCTGTGACATCAGCCAACAGCAGGCTTCAGCCCACTGTTGGCTGTAAACAGATCACAGAAGTGCAAAATACACTGTAGCTGTGGCTACAATATAAACACATTCACGATTGCAGAAAGTTAAACAAAATTAGCATTTTAAACGCTTTACCTTCGCCCTATAGCAGGGATACTGCTACAGGGGTGCACAAAATCAGTGTGTGTGTGTGTGTGTGTGTGTGTGTGTGTGTGTGTGAGAGTGTGAGTGAGTGTGTGTGTGTGTGTGTGTGTGTGAGAGTGAGTGTGTGAGTGAGTGAGTGAGTGTGTTTTTTTTGCATTTCTGGGTAGGGGGTGCATGCCCTACCTGTGCCACCATTCGCGGCCTCGGCTGTCATTCACTGGGTCCCAGCCGGTGATTACTCGCCTTTTATTAGTGCTGATCACTGTACTGGTGTCACTGGTGATGTCAGCGACACCAAGTCAGTTCCCCCCCAGTGTCAGAATGCCCACCACGGTCCCGTTATAAGCCACTGATTGCCGCCATTAGTAGTAAAAAAAAAATAAAAATAAACATTCCAGTGTATATACCGCCATTTGTAAATGCTATAACTTTCACATAAACCAATTAAATTTACACGTATTGGGATTTTTTTTTCTTTTATAGCAAAGACGTAGCAAAATACATTCCTAAATTTATGACAATTTGTTTTAAATTTTTTTTATTGGACATGTTTATTAGCAAAATATCAAAAATACAGGTTTTTTTACTCAAAATTGTGCAAAAAAATAAAAACCACACAGGCGATCAAATACCACCGAAAGAAAGCTCTATTTGTTGGTAAAAAAGGACATAAAAGTGTCATTTGGGTGCAGAATTGCATAACCGCGCAATGGTCAGTTAAAGTAACGCAGCACCGTAACGCAAAAAATGGCCTGGTCAGGAAGGGGGAAATCCTTTGGAGGGCAAGCGGTTAAGTTAATTTCTTTATTTTAAACCCCTAAATATAACAGTTTGCCTAAAGATACATCCAACAAAATGCCTTTCAATTTTATTTAAAAAACGTTAAGTTACTATAACACAACAATCCAGAGCAAGACAGATGCAGGTATCTCCCTTATAAAAAGTAGCTGCAGAGATCTAGAGAGATGGAAGAGGCTTGGCTTTACAAAAAGCAACTAGAAGACACATGTCGATACATACAAACAAAATGAGGAAAGTTGGGTGACTACTTATGCAAATCACTAAGCTAGATACTGCTCCATGTAACTGAAAGTTTTTTTTATTTGTTGGACTGTCTGCAAATGCTTGCATAGTGTAAACTAATATATTTGGTGATATAAGCATGTATGTTTATACATCAGACCATGCCTGCATATCTAACCACCTCTCAGGCCAGTATTGGACATGTTTTCATGTGGTTTTGTTTACTTTTTTTATTTTCCAAAATGCAGAACCAAAACAGGGAAAACAGATCCTAATGTTTACAAAAGGGGTTGTTAAACACTAAAAATACATGAAAATACATGTTATAGGCTTTTTTGTGCATTCACATATGCACAATATGGGAGTCAAAAACATGCGCTGATGTACCAAACACACCTGTACTGTTTTGGCAGTGCACAGATGTGAACAGACTCCACAGAAAGGAGTGAAATCCTCGTGTCACGCACTAAAGTGTTGGGCAAGTTAGATTGCATAGGAGTAAACAATACCTTATGGCTAAATCTCCTGACAAAGTTTTTGTGAAGCACAGGGAAAAAACCCCAAAAACGTATGAATGTATACAGGTGCACTATTGATCCCTGACCATTAGGCCCCATGTACACGGGGCACTTCTGAACGATGGAAACTGACTGCTGGAAAATGTAGGTTAAAAAAACGTCTGTTTAGCTGTGTTTGCATAACACGTTTATGCGCATTTATGTGCGTTTGCGTTTAGAAGCGGTATTTAAAAATAAGCACAGGAGAACCTCCTAAATGCCCAGAATGCACTGAAAAGTGGTAAATGATTAACTATTTCAGACTGTTTCAGAGAAATACAGAGAGTAGAAGCTGAGACAGCAGTATGTGTTGAGATAATTAGGTGTGAGTTGCCTATTAACATTTCTTTTGTTTCAAAGGGTGGGAAAGGTGGCTGGTGGAGTGAGTCATTGAGTCACCCGGCAGGGGGTCTGCATGAGGAATTTAAGGTGTGAATGGTCATTACCATATCTTTTGTTTGCAAGGGTGGGAGAGGTCTGAATTGGTCATTACAATGTGTGACAAGCTTGGTAGGACCATCCTGTGTTCAGTGTTTTGTCCATCTGAGTACCTTGAAAATGCTTTGCATGCATTTTTCATGATGAAAAAAGGCTCTGGACAGCATTGGGAACTGAAAGAATTAAAAAAAAAAATTTTTCAAAGGCAAACGCTTATAAACGCAATTTGCCGCATTTAGACACGTTTAGCCGCTTTTGCAAGCGTTTTGCGTTTGAAACACTGATAAAATCGACTGCTGAACGCAAGTTTTCTGCATTCAAAAAAACGACTGTAAACTCAAATGCCTGTAAATGACTGAGAACGAAGATGTGTACATAGACACATAGGAAAACATTAGGGTGAGTTCAGGGGCTGCTGAAAAAAAATGCTGAACAGCTCCTAAATGTGAGTTTATCAGCTGCAGTGTACATGAGCCCTTATATATAAACGGTCAGCAAGGTTGCAAGTGTATATTCATACACTTTATTAAATAGGGTAGCAGAGTTGCAAGTGGGATATTGGTCTTAGATGTTGACTGAAACCCTCTTTTAGAATCTTTGTCATCTTTGAACTTTGTAGCTGCAGGTAATCTGTAGAAATTCTCAATGAGAAGTTGTATTATAGTGCTCTTACGGTTAGGAATATGTACTGTAAATACTTTAATGACCATAGTCAGGTGCACTTTGGCACCTTGTCTACCAGGGTTGATTTTGAAATATCTGGGTATTCAAAGGGTTAAAACAAGTTCATGATTGCTAGTACAGCCAAAAGTTGTCCCCCCCGCCAGCTCCCAGCTTTCATGAAAGTGATCTGGGTGGCTCTTTTACAGGACTCTGAAGATGTCCGCTCTCCACTGTGACTAATGAACCCAGAAGCGACATGCATTTAGTCACTTCAGGGTACAAAACTGTAATTCTCCGTCTACTTTGGCTGAAACTGCTAATAAAGCATAATTTGAGCTTGATGTGCTGCTGTGGAGGGCAGAGGTGACATTAAGGGACTAATGGACCACTAATGACTCCCATAAAGAGAACCTGTCAGCTGCCTAAGCCTTCTTGTGATAGCAATAAAAAGAAAAAATTACAGTTACAAAATATAACAAAAAAAAAAAGGGATAAAAATAGGAACTTTGTGTTACCTGTAAATTCCATATCTTGGAGTAAAGTACGGAGCTTAAATTCTAAAACCATGGGTTAAATGCAGGCTAGATTTAGGTAACTGGCAAATAACTTGCTAGGGTTATCACCAGAGAACACCATGTAAACCATGTAGCTGTGACCAGTCTGACTTCAGTAGTTTGTTTTTGTAACATCCAATAGGAAGTAATCAAGACAAAGGCATAGGACCCGTGTCCTGTCCCATACATTAAGATAATATAAAGGCAAGCAAAATTCCTATTATCTTAATAATACAGCACAGGACTTGTAAACTAGGACCATGGAATGTACCAAAGCATTAAACTTAGTGGTGGGAAACAACACAGCAAAACAGAACTTCAAGCAGGCATGCAAGTAAAAAAACAAACACCCCCCCCCCCCCCCAAGAAAAAAAAAAAAAAAAAAAAAGACTCAAATGACTGCTTGAAGCATGTTGTGGCTGAAGCCAACATCAGCCAAGGCCAGAACTACCACCTGGTAGAACTTTAAAAAAAAGTCTGAACAGAGGACCAGGCGGTGGCCTTACAAATCTGGAAAATAGATGCTTGAATCCAAAAAGCCCAAGAAATTCCATAGCCCTGATGGAATGGGCTCTGATGCGGAAAGGAGAAAATGTCCCAAAGGGCATATGCACTGGAAATTATTTGCCTGATCCACCTAGCAATGTGAGGGTTCACAGACAGACAGGACATCTGTGGCTATCAGGTAGACCCTGACAATTCTGACCACATTCAATCAAGAAGAATAGAGGATGTGTAGCATTTCTGGCCTTGGGAAACTGAAGGTTCTAGAAGTGCTGAGAGTTTTCAAAAAAAACGCAGACATAATGGAAAAAAAAAAAAATCTGCTTTTGTCAGACAGGCCGTACGCTGCATGACTGGGATGGAGCTGGAGTTAAAACATAGGATAGGAGTCATAAAAGAACATTGCTCCGAAACAAGGGAACAGTTGTTATCCAGAGTAGTTATGAAGTGTAGAATGGATGGGGATGCACACATCTGAATATAGGAGCCACTATAACGAAGACACTAACTATGTTCCTGTGACTGTTTGAAAGATGGCAAGAGTGCAGCAACTTTCTGTGTGCACTCTCGGTGGAAAAGTCGGCCTGAAAGTTATCCTCTAGGAGGGTGTGATGCAGTTGCTATATTCTTCATTTTGGACAGAGTGGAGATGGATTAGAACACCTGTCAGGTTTATATCACTGGCTGAGCCCCTGTAAGGGAGATTCACCCTCTCTATTTCGCCCATTGGCTGCTAACGAAAGTCAAAGTAAAAGAAAATCAATTTTGGGTAAATCTTTGAACACTAGGGAGGGGTGGCTTCTCATTTCCTGTTTTAGTTAAGGGACAGGAAGTGCTGGGAAAACTCCAACATGGGACACAGATAGCAAAAAAAAAAAAACAAAAAACACAACAGGGGTTATAATTATAATGCTCCTTTACTCTATCCATTTAAACTTGAATTGCATCATACATGGGAAGTATCACTGTGAACGTCGGAACGAGAGCAATAATTTTAGGGCTTGGTGTCTATTTACTCAGCTCAAACCGGTTTTTCATATTTTGCAAAGAAATGGGTATTATACTGTGTTTTGTTTCCACCTAAACCCATTGTAGTGTATTTTCCCTGTTAACAAGATTTTGCTAATCAAAATCTGCACACAGCCGAACAAGAGTTTGACTGGTGACCCAAGACAATTATGCAAATACTGTATTTATGTACTTTGCACTTTTAAGAAAAAACAGCGAGCTTGCTATTGTCAAAGCATTTTTTGTCAAATGTTTGGGGATGTGAGGGTTTAAGAAAGACCATTTATTAAAAGAAAACACACCTTGGCAGAGTTGTTCCTTTGACTGAGTTTTCACGGAACGTCTTCTCATACTGCGGGAGCTCTACAAACTCATGCAACCACCGCAAAGTCTCCTCTTCTGTCCAGTTATGAACTAAAAGGCACAATAAGATGATTTTTAAATATAGGGATACTAGGATCAAGTTTATTTAGTAATTAGGTATTTAGCTCACTCTCCCACCTGTTTACCCCTTTATGGATCAAAGCAATTACTACATTTTAGCTACCGGCCATCAACTTATTATACCAAAGTAAAGTACTTTATTTTTATTTTTTTAGAACAATACAATGTAGTCTTGCAAAAACTGTGCTATATAAGCAATCTTCAGGCAAAAAGACACAGCAAAAAAGCACAAAATGTTTTTTTAGTCTATACCAGGGGTCTCCAAACTTTCTAAACAAAGGGCCAATTTACTGTCCTTCAGACTTCAGGGGGTCCGAACTGAAGCCTTTGGGAGTAGAAAACATCCCAACATCAGTAAGTATAAACAATGCTCCATCTTCGGTGTCAGTGGAAGGGATAGTGACCCATTTTTTGCGTCAGCGGGAAGAACTGTGCCCCATCGTTGGTGTCATTGGGAGGAATTGTGCCCCATCGTTGGTGTCATTGGGAGGAATTGTGCCCCATCGTTGGTGTCATTGGGAGGAATTGTGCCCCATCGTTGGTGTCATTGGGAGGAATTGTGCCCCATCGTTGGTGTCATTGGGAGGAATTGTGCCCCATCGTTGGTGTCATTGGGAGGATTTGTGCCCCATCGTTGGTGTCATTGGGAGGATTGTGCCCCATCGTTGGTGTCATTGGGAGGAATTGTGCCCCATAGTTGGTGTCATTGGGAGGAATTGTTCCCCATCTTTGGTATCCCTGGGAGCAATTGTGCCCCATCTTTGGTGTCACTGGGAGCAATTGTGCCCCATCTTTGGTGTCACTGGGAGCAATTGTGCCCCATCTTTGGTGTCACTGGGAGCAATTGTGCCCCATCTTTGGTGTCACTGGGAGCAATTGTGCCCATCTTTGGTGTCACTGGGAGCAATTGTGCCCCATCTTTGGTGTCACTGGGAGGAACTGTACCCCTTAGTTGGTGTCCGTGGGAGGAATTGTGCCCCTTAGTTAGTGACAGTGGGGGTAATTATGCTTCATTGCTGGTATCAGTGGATGAAATTGTGCCCCGAGGGATGGAAAAAAAAGCAAGCAAAGAACTGCAGTTTGGAGACCACTGGTCTATACAACCAGTTTTCTATTTTAACAGCTAGTGTTACTGGATAAAAATATGTCCCATTTAAAGTGGCACAAAATTATGTGTCTGATACAAAGCATGGCAAAGTTATTTGCAAAAGAAATAGGATTTGTATAAAGGGACAAAAGAAGCCCAAACTTTAGGAATGGAGAGGTGAAATTAACATTTTTTTTTGCATCCTCCTCCAGCCCACCTTATACTTACCTGAGCCCATAAGTCAATGGACACGCAGAGGAGACAGAAAACAACTTGCTCGGGGAGCACTCTGTAGAGGGAGGAGCCAGAAGTGCCACTAGGGGGGGGGCTGGGATCGGGGCTGCTATGTACAAATCCATTGCACAGTGCAGGTAAGTATAATTATTTTTTCTTTTACTACATTTTACCTTAACAATCACTCTAAGGTTTCTTCTGAAGTAGATGACGGGTGCTGTAAGCATCTGACAATGGGGATGATACACAAGTAAAGAAGGGCCAATATTGGGGCCATAACCTTGTTGAACAAGGTTTGATGTACGAAGCCTGTAACTAAAAAAAATACTAATCTGTATACTTGTTCCAGGTGAAGGAATATAAAAAAAGTAATTTTAACTGTACAAGTCTGCTCTGAGCTCAACTCTGTGGTTAACATGGGTCATAGACACACAATAAAAACAGATCAGGCCATGTAACTTGTAGTACAGACAGTCCCCGAGTTACGAACTCCTACTTATGAACGGAGGCAGCGTGACATCACTTCTGGCCGCTTGCGCTTCACACTGGTCCCGGAACCGCTGAGCGGCCATCTTGCCAGCTAACGGCCTGTGCACTACATGATCAGAAGCACCAGACACATCCCACATTACTGCATGGCCACAAGTGCCCCAAATAAACACATATCACTGTGCACCCAGACGTGCGCGGGACATCCAACATCACTGTACCACCAGAAGCGCCTGGAAGCTGGTGAGATTTATTACAGCACTGTACTCTGTGCCCACTATTATTGGGAGTATGCCCTGTACTTGTACCTGTAACTTCTATGATAGCAGGACTGTGTTACTGTCTAGTATATCCACTTGTGTTTCAGCATGAGCTCATGTCAGCTGCCCATGTACTGTATGGTGTGGGGTTACAGCCACTGTGTACTGTATGTTGTGAGGTTACAGCCACTGTGAGGTTTTTGTTTACTGCTGTCTGTATGCTCATTAGAAGGACTTAATTCCACTCCCCCCCCCCCCCCCCGAGACAACAGGAAGTGAGAGGAAATCTACTCCTGGGAAGGGAAATTCACTCACAGGTTTTTTTTGGCTGGAGTTACGGAGTTACACCTAAAAAATTTACTTTTCCAACTTAGGGCATATACTATATTGCCTAAAGTATTAGGACACCTCTCAAAATCATTGGATTCAGGTGTTTCAATCTCCTCCATGGCCACAGGTGTATAAAATCAAGCACCTAGGCATGCAGACTGTTTCTATAAACATTTGTGAAAGAATGGGTCCCTCTCAGGAGCTCAATGAATTCAAGTGTGGTACAGTGATAGGTTGAAACCTGTGCAAAAAGTCCATCCACGAAATTTCCTTGCTACTAAATATTCCACGGTCAACTGTTAGTGGTATTATAACAAAATGGATGCAACTGGGAACAGCAGCAACTCGAAATGGTAGGCCATATAAAATGACAGAGCGGGGTCACAGCATGTTGAAGAGCACAGTACGCAGAAGTCGCCAACTGTCTCCAGAGTCAATAGCTAACGACCTCCAAACGTCATGTGGCCTTCAGATTAGCACAACACTATATAGAGTGCTTCATGGAATGGGTTTCCATGGCCAAGCAGCTGCATCCAATCCTTACATCACTAAGTGCAATGCAAAGTGTTGGATGCAGTGGTGTAAAGCATGCAGTCACTGGACTCCAGAGAAGTGGAGACATGTTCTCTGGAGTGACAAATCATGCTTCTCTATCTGGAAATCTGATGGATGTGTCTGAGTTTGCTGGTTGCCAGGAGAACGGTACTTGCCTAACTGCATTGTGCCAAGTGTAAAGTTTGGCAGAGGGGGGATTATGGTGTGGGGTTGTTTTGCAGGGGTTGGGTTGGGCTCGGCCTCTTAGTTCCAGTGAAGGGACCTCTTAAGGCGTCAGCATACCAAGACATTTTGGACAATTTCATGCTCTCAACTTTGTGGTAACAGTTTGGAGATGCTCCCCATCCTGTTCCAACATAAGTGCGCACCAGTGAACAAAGCAAGGTCCATAAAGACATGGATGAGCGAGTTTGGGGTGGAGGAACTTGACTAGCCTTCAGAGTCCTGACCTCAACCCGACAGAACACCTTTGAGATTAATTAGAGCGGAGACTGTGAGCCAGGCCTTCTTGTCCGACATCAGTGCCTGACCAATACGCTTCTGGACGAATGGTCAAACATTCCCATAGACACACTCCTAAATCTTGTGGATGGCCTTACCAGAAGAGTTGAAGCTGTTAAAGCTGCAAAGAGCGGGACAACTCAATATTGAACCCTACTGATTAAGACTGGGATGTCATTAAAGTTCATGTGCGTGAAAAGGCAGATGTCCCTATACATTTGACAATATAGCGTATGTTATATGCAATCTTTTGAGGCTTCTGGAAGTCAGTACCATATCTATTTAATCTTTATTAATGCAGACCTTTCAACAAAAAAATATGTTTTTCTCATTTGTTACCCACTTCCCCTACAAAATTGCAGTTTTTTTTTTTTAAAGCAAGTACTTTATTTTCAGTGGCACTTCCTTGTATGCCTGTAGCCTCCTGGGATATCCACATCACATATCCCAGGTGGCTTCAGAAAGTCTAAATGCAGTCTTGTGCATGAGCTCAGGCGTGTTAGCAAGGGGCCGACTCTGAAAATCAGTAAGTAACAGCTGGACTCCTGATTCCAAGATGGCAGCACAGAAGAAAATTAAACACTGAAAAGACTTTGGATGTGAGGAACAGTGCTGAACTTCACAGACTGAAGTATGTGATGTTCTCACAGGAACAGCTGACTTTAGTTTTAGATAGCCAGATGGGAAGGTCCCTAAAAACCTGGGCCACACATTTGGATATCAGCCAACAACCTTTAATGCTTTTCGGTCTATAAGTCATAGTTCTAACAAATAACCCACCATAGGTTCAAAACCTGTAATACTGCTTTTTATCCCAGTGTGTGTTTATCCAGCTCCAGCCAAAGGATTTCCTTTATGGCTTAACAAAAAGAGGGGAGGTTAAACAGCAAGCACACTCACATGACTCCATTATACTGTGAGTAAAACTACTCCGCTCCAGGGAAATTAGAAATCTAACCTTGCAATTGAGCAGTCTCAGAAAAATAGTCATCACACTTTAAAGTGGTTGTAAAGGCTCCAGGTGTTTTACCTTCATGCATTCTTCATGCATGAAGGTTAAAAACCCATGTGTAGCAGCCCCCCCAATCACAGCCAGGGAGCCAATGAGAAAAAAGGGGGTAGGGACAAGTCCCAGCTGTGTGTGTGAATGCAAGAGGAAGCACACCAAGGAGTCCTCAGAAGGGTCCAAAGTTAATTTAGTGGTCACATGATATGTACAGCGGCAACATTTCAGAGCCATGCAGAGCCCCTTCATCAGGGGGCCTGCCGAAGGGGTCCTGCGTGGCTTCAAAACATTGTCGCTGTACATATTATGTGACCACTAAATAAAACTTTAAACCCTTCTGAGGACTCCTTGGTGTGCTGGTGACATTCTTCCTCTTGGATTGTCAGTGGTTCCCAGCCCGTAGTCACTGCAGCACCTAACACTACTAAACAGCTATCTGAAGAAACATGTGCATTGGGAAACCTGCATTTGGATTTGTGTGTGTGAACTGACATGCAGAGCAGCGGTT